CGGGCCACATGTGGCCCGTGGGCCTTGAGTTTGACACATGTGCTTTATAGAAACAAATTAACTTTGAACAAATTGCATTGGACCAGTTTTTTCTTTTAGTGTTTTCCCAGTGTTGTGACTGGAACTTATAGTTAGATGGTATTTAAGCACATGCATCTTTTTAAGAAGGCAAAACAAAATGCCACCTCACCTTTGCCACCTCTGCACTGTCCAGCGGGGTTGCACTGTGTGATTTTACAAAGTTTTTTTTGTGTGGATTTGTAAAGATCACCATCCTTCCCCACAGCGCTTCCTCACTGTCTGACCGCAACATTTGCCGAGCTCCTGAGCATTGCGCAAAGACCCCGGGAACTGGGAAGGTTAAGAAACGGGGTCCAATGGACCCAGCGAACTTTACCCTGTGCGCATCCCGGCAAGGTTGGACTGACTTTGTTTGCGCTTTTACCCCTTGGTTCCCCACTCTCTGACCGTGACATCTACTGTGCTCCTCTTGAGCGTCGCGCCAAGACCGCTGGAGGTTAAACCCGAACATCATGCGATGAGGAAGAGCATGATGAGGAAGAGCAGGGTTGCAGCTGACCTCAGGTTTGCAGCTGAGCAACCCTGAGCTCAGCTGCAGCTGCTCAGGGTTGGCTCTGTATCAAAACAGAGCCAGCTCAGATGGCTCTGTTTTGATACCAGCTGATTACATCATCAACTAGCAGATCTCTATCGAGGCCTCTATCATTTCTACCATATACTGGATATATTGCACATTCCTAAGTCGCACATATGCGGAGATGATCTAAAAACATCTGAAACCATGAAGAAGGTTGTTACTTTTCACAAATCAGAGACACGTGGACGTTTACCGGCTGGTTGGGGTTCCAGGGTCCAACATGCTGAGGCTCAAACCACGTAGGCTTGTTGGATGGCATATCAGATGGCCCACTGGAGTTTTTAGGGTCCTGTGATCTGGGTGCAACTCCATCAAAGTCTCCTGGAGGAGGGCCAATCACAGGAGGCTTCCCATCTCCTGCACCTAAAAAGATGAAATTAGAGCTATAGGAGACAGGCTTGTTATGGCCACCTGAATACTTTCATTTGGGTTAACATTGGGAGTGTGTCAGTTATTTAGTTTTTATTCTTTATTCAAAATTCTACTAATATACTTTTGTTTTTGCTTTTTTGTCACTCAAATCTTTCAGATTATTAAATATTTTTATGTATGGGACAAAGATAACCTGATTAAATACAAAAAGCAGTTTTGTTTTAACCTGATTTTTCCAATAAGGGAGAAATGGTCCACCCCACTTGGCAATCTGGGGAATAGTAATTGCCTCACTTGTTAAATTTAATTAACAGTGATTAAAGAGTAACTCACCCCAAAATCAACTTATTTTCTGATAAACTGTCTAAATAGGTTACTTAGGGTTCTATTTTTACGCTTTTGTGTGAATTTTGACATTTTTATGTAAATGTATTAATTTAGCATTATTTTGTCAAAAATTATTTTTGTCCTGGCCTCCTTTGGTCAAACAGTGCTTAGCCAGTTGGATTCTCCTTCTGGTTTAAAACAGATCAGCTTTACTCACTCAGCCCCATGTTTGGGTGTAAAACCGTTGAACCTGAGTTCAACGGTTTTACATTGAACATTTACAATGCGGGGCATTTGTCTGAACAAATGCCCCGCCTGGTAGTGAGTGAGAAGTTGGAATAGTGAGTGTTGCCATGGCGAGCGCTGATTTGTAAAGCTGAGTAGCATTACTCAGCTTTACAAATGTGCGATTTATTTCCAATATGGACACAGAGTGGAATTGGTCTTTTCTGATCTGACTACTGGCGACAGTATACTGCAGGACTATTGATTGTCAAGCTGACTGCAGTGCTTGGGAAGCAGGGAGTGCAGCTCAGGACTTCTAAACTTTGTCATTACAAAGTTTAGAAGTAAGCAACAGCTCTTCTTTCATCCTGACCACAGCCCCTGTGACCCTTTTCGCTCATCCTCACACTCGACCCCTCAGTGTTACTTAACTTGCCCACTTTGCAGGAATTTTTCAAAATTTGTTTGGCGTGGGGTTATACTTTGAATAACCTTTTTAGAAAGCTGAGCTCAATTTTACAAACATTATTATCATTGATAAACATGTGTAGTAAGTAAATTAAATAAAACCAAAAAGTATCTTGAAGGCCCATGTGACCATAGCAACAGAAATAGTAAGTAGGGGAACAGAGCCACATTAGATCTGAAAAGATTAATCTTGAAAAATGCATAAAATTACCAAGGATTTGAAAGTAAATATTGGACTGACTAAAATCCTTTTTATGACATTAAAACTGAACAAACGCTCAGATCGTTTGTTGGACTGATTCTCTTACCGGCTTGGGTTGTAATAGGCGGGGCTTTTTCAGCTTCAGCAGGGGGGGCTGCTGTTCCTGCAGGGCAAGTCTGCTGCTGCTTCAAACTAGTAACAAACTTCTCATGTTGGGTCTTTAAAGCCTGAATCTGCTGCTGAAAGGCCAGCTGGATGGGCTGCACCACAGCAGCATACTCTGTTATAAGGGAAGCCTGAAAAATCAAGAGCAAAATCATAAAGAGTTCCAGACTGACTACACCTAACTACCAAGGTTTTACTTCTCAGAATCATTCACAACTATGCACAGCAAACATATTTTGATATTTGAACAACATTATCAAAATATAAACGAACACAGCTCAACCAATGTGAAAGTAAACAGAGTGCATCGTTAGTCAGGCCAGTAAAATGAAAGACTGATGATTGGCTCTTTAAAATGAGTCACTGATGAAAAGCTCCATAGATACTGTGAGACTGAATGACTTTTACACAGACCTGGTACTGTCCAATGCCAAGTGCTGGGTTCTGCAGCTGCTGGATGGTCTCATCATCAAAATACCCGTTCTTCTCCCAAAGCTGCAGCAACTGCAGAGATACAAGGAATCAAAAAGTCGATGAAAATACATTAATTAACTTTGGGCCTTTTTGCAAAGCAGGGCCCGGGCCTGAGTGTAGCCTGGCATTACAGAATCTACATTGTGCCATCACACACCAAGCAGATTGATATATTAAACTTTTTCTTTGCAGTGACAAAAACCAACAACTGTGGCCCCAGTAACTACATATAAACAATGAAATGGTTGCCCTTAAATTATGAGCACCAGCTTGTACTTAATCAAATGTTTTAAGGGTTTAATGTTGATCTGGGTGCTGAATCTGAGCTCTGTGCTCCACTGGAGACTGGAAATACAAGCACCACTCTAGCTAAAGTTTTGAAATCAGGGAACATTTCTCCATTTGTTTGATCAGAAGTTGGTAAGACTCTGTGATGAAGAGTTTTCTGGTCAGGAGGAAAAGAAGCTCAGAGATGAAACTGATGATTTTTTAATGCAATATAGAAAGAGCAGGAGAGGACAATGAGGAATGAAAAAGTGTTCCACCAGACCAATGCAAACACAACCAGGACCAGAATATAACAGGACTGGGCCAGGGTGGGACCTGCAGTGCAAAAATACCTGTTTTCAAGATATTTACATTTTTTGTAATCTACCAGTGATGTCAGTAACGCGTTACTGACGTCAGACCACTTTTTTCAGTAATGAGCAATCTAACGCGTTGCTATTTCAAATCCAGTAGTCAGACTACAGTTATTTATCGAAATCACTTTGCGTTACTATTTTCTTTTGTAATTTAATTTTATTTCCTCTACACGTCTTGGGGAGTAACCGTCGTTTCTATGCAACAGTATCAGCAGCGACGGAAACAAACAATGGAGGGAAGAGGGAGATGCACATTTTGTTGCTGATAAAACAGGAACTATTTTGAGTACGATTATTATAAGCAGCTTTGGGCTTGTTTTTTTTTTTCCTAAAGTTGCTTGCAGATTTAATGAGTCACGTGTTGCGGTTTTTGGCCTTGCAAATAAGCAGACATAAACCCCAGAATTTGTCTGACATCCACTTAGTTTTAGTCAGACTCTCCCTGACCATCATTCCCGGATGATCCGTCCCACTGTGTCTTTGCTAATTTCAAGTTAATACAGGTCCTTCTCAAAAAATTTGCATATTGTGATAAAGTTTATTATTTTCCATAATGCAATGATAAAAATTAAACCGTCATATATTTTAGATTCATTGCACACCAACTGAAATATTCCAGGTCTTTTATTGTTTTAATACTGATGATTTTGGCATACAGCTCATGAAAACCCAAAATCCCTCTCTCAAAAAATTAGCATATCATGAAAAGGTTCTCTGAACGAGCAATTAACCTCATCATCTGAATCAACTAAGTAACTCTAAACTCCTGCAAAAGATTCCTGAGGCCTTTAAAAACTTGTTCATTACTCAAAACCGCAATCATGGGTAAGACTGCTGACCTGACTGCTGTCCAGAAGGCCATCATTGACACCCTCAAGCAAGAGGGTAAGACACAGAAAGAAATTTCTGAACGAATAGACTGTTCCCAGAGTGCTGTATCAAGGCACCTCAGTGGGAAGTTGGTGGGAAGGAAAAAGTGTGGCAGAAAACGCTGCACAACGAGAAGAGGTGACCGGACCTTGAGGAAGATTGTGGAGAAGGGCCAATTCCAGACCTTGGGGGACCTGCGAAAGAAACATCCATAGCCACTTTGCACAGGCATGTGCAGGAAATGGACTACAGGTGCCGCATTCCCCAAGTCAAGCCACTTTTGAACTAGAAACAGCAGCAGAAGCGCCTCACCTGGGCTACAGAGAAGCAGCACTGGACTGTTGCTCAGTGGTCCAAAGTACTTTTTTTGGATGAAAGAAAATTTTGCATGTCATTCGGAAATCAAGGTACCAGAGTCTGGAGGAAGACTGGGGAGAAGGAAATGCCAAAATGCCAGAAGTCCAGTGTCAAGTACCCACAGTCAGTGATGGTCTG